AAATTAGGTTTTTTTCTTTTTCGCGAAATGGATTTATATATTTTATGAGAGTTTTTGCATTAATTATATTTTTTTAAAAAAATATCGGGCCCTCTATTTTAGCGCTGGGTTGCCCGTGGCAAAAAAATCCTAGTCTCAAAAGAAATTAATTAAAAATTATTTTTATCAAAAATCTAATTTAAGGACTTTTACTGAAAATTATTCTTAAATTAGCTTCAAAAAAAAACTTAAAATTAATTTTCAGTAAAAGTTGTTTGAATTAAGTTTTGGGCAAAAATTATTTTTAATTAATTGCTTTTGAGACTAAAGGTTTTAAGGGAGAGAGCAGTTCATTTTACGTGAGACGAGAAAAGACTCTCCTGCTCTCACTGATATGTTCGTAGAAATGATTCAACATCATTGCATAACCCGTTATAGCCAAATGAACCAAGAATCTTGACGACATAATTGATTTTTGCTATCAAAAAGGCCCTCATTGAAAATTTGAGAAAGCAAACGATTTCGTATTTCTGTGTAGTACCAGGGGTAGAACAGCAAATCAACTATTTCTACTTCACTAATCCACAATTGTATTAACTCTACTTACAATCACCATTTGGAAATTTTGATTTGATCGTTTTTTGTATTAACAGGAATGTGGATAGTCGTACAATTAAAAATTAATAATATATTTCCTAAATCGATAACATCGAATATGATTGAAGGAATGAATCACGTATACAAACAAATTACTGACTGGAAGCTTGTGACATTAGATCGATTAATATTAACGTTTTATCACTTGCAAGGATATTATATCAATGAGGTGGAACGTGGCTATTGTGGTCGAGGTACAACATCCAGCTATGTATTTCCAATATTGATTGTGTCTTGTTGATTTAGGGTATCGGATAAAACATGAATACGAGCGACTGAAAAAGCCGTCGTATTTATTAACGTTGCTCGATAGTTACTCGCCGCAAGACGTTGTTAATCAAATTAAAAGCTTATCTTGACCGAACCAAAATGAAAATGATCAGCAAAATAAGGAGAAACGAAAACCTTTGTCACAGTCTGAATTAGCTGATCAATTGTTAAATGAACATAGAGTTAAGCTCGATGATTTTACAGGTATGAGACGAGGCCAGCTAATAATATTACAGTTGAAATAGTTGTCTGAAATATAGGCAGTTTTATCGTCAAAATGAAGAACAACTCTGACTATTTTGTTGATTTCCAAAATTATCCAGAAATGAACTGTACCTGTGACATATATAAACAAAACAAAAAAGAAAATTGTCTGCATATAGTCGCTGTGCAAAGAAAATTAAATTTTATGAAATTAACACTGAAACAACCCAAAGCAAATTGCGCAACATTGAGAAAAGCCTTTAAATCAGCTGCTGGTATAAAAATGTTAGGAAAAAAAAAGCCAACTGAGTGGGATAAAGAGAATAAGAAAGTATGAATTAAGATTTTCTAATTTTATACATTGAACCGTTTCAATCTATCCATAGGTCTCCGTTGTTAAAAAGAAAACGACTAAACCGTGTAATGGAAAAGTACGTCTTGAAACTCTTGTAGAAGAAAAACATTAACAAAATAGTGAGAGATGCCTTTCAAATATTTAGAAAAATATAACACATTCAGCTCAAGAATCGACAGAAGAAGCAGAAGAAGCACCACCTCCAAAAGTAGGTAAAATCTACGTCAGTGACAGATGATTGATTGCTTTTACATTAAAGCGAATAGCATTGTCTAATGTACAAAATAGTCATTCATCAATATTAGCACTGACTGGTTCGTTA